AAAAATTTAAAAGCTTTAATACAAGTTTAAGCCAGTTATTTCTAACTAAAAACTTTTGGGATTGGATAAATATTTACGCGGATAAATTATTTTGCGTTGATTCCCTTTGCTAAACAAAAAGTTTTGTAGAAAAATAATGAGCTAAGAAAAGAGAATCCTTGAAAATATGCTATGTTAATTTAAAAAACGTACAAGTATTATCTTTTTTAAAAAGGTTTTGTTGACATTAAAATGCCTTAAAAGATTTTATTACAAATCAGATATTATGTTTACGAAATGTTTAAATGTTACGGTGTTTCAAAAAGGTATGTCATAAATTAAATCACGCATTTTGGAGACAAAAATAAATTGATTGAAACTAACTTACGTTAGTACAAAAGGGTACACAAAAAAGTTACAGCCATTTGAAGTTATAAAATAAAAATTGTTTTTTTTTGCATTATCTACTAAACTACTTGACATTTTGTAATAAAAATGGACACGTTACTTTCTTGTTCTGAAAGAATTTTTCATACAAAAGATCATTAGTTGAACACATTATTTTTTTTTTAATTTTTACCTCCTATCACTTTTTTCACAAAACAGTTTTTATTGAGTTATGGCCCTTTTCATTAAACTTTAAAAAATTACGTGCCAATAAATAAATGGCTTAAATGAATTAACAACTACAAAAAATGTATATAACCTTTATTAATATGATATTACAATAAATGTTCAAAATGACCCCCATTTTCTTCAAAACACAATCGGTACCTATCATCCTATATATATCACAAGTCCGTCCTATATCACAAAGAAAACCGAATTCGCTAAAAAACTATATTTTCTGACGACATTGATTTGCAGCTTTAATTATTCTAACCCTCAATTGTTGTTCGCCCTCTATTGTTACAGAATACACTTTCTCTTTCATAAACCCCCCAAAAGCAAAAGTCTATGGGGTTAAGACATGGACTTCTGGGTGGCCACCGACTAGGATACTGCCTGCAAAGGTATTCGCGGACTTCATTACTGGAATGCGGTGGAGCGCCATCTTGTAGAAACCACATATGTTGCCTGATTGCAAAATTTATTTCTTCCAAATACTGTTGTAAATCGTTTGCCAAGAACTGCAAATTATTATCACCATTTAAATTGTTGGAAAGAAATACTGGGCCTATTAGATTGTTATCCACAATTCCTGCCCAAACATTTACTTTGAAAGTCCTTTGATGATAAGTCGTTTTTTTGGTGTGAGGATTTTCGTCGGCCAAATGTGCTCGTTATGATGGTTTGTTATTTCATTTCTACTGAAACTCGCCTCGCCAGTAAACAAAATATTTCTAATAAAATTAACATTTCGACTATTTTCCATATTAACAACCAATCGCAAACTCCAATCCTTTTAGGATAATATTCAACCAATAACTCTTGAACCATTGTTAAGTTATAGGGTTTAAGCAGCTGATCCTTCAAACTCCTCAAACCCTTACATGAGGAACATTAAGAGTGAACATTAACCCTTGTACTTGTTCCAAGGACTTTTTCAATGATTTCTTAAATGTCGGGAATGAACCCGTTTCCCGTAAACAACGATTAATGGTCAGAAATAACTGTCTATCGGGTGTATTTCGATTGGAGTATTTTACTGCATAAGGCCTTGCGGCTGCTGCACTATTTTCTTGACATTCACCTACGATATTCCCGATAGTTTATTGAAATCATAATTTAATCTGATACAACTTACCCAAAGCCATTTACTGAAAGGCGTAGGCCATTGTAATATCAAAATTTTTAATATTAATCTTATTCACAGCATCTTGAGCTGTTGCTAAATAGAATAAAGTATAGCGAACATTGTTGACAACTCTGTAGAGATCTCAAAATAATTTCCATGCTTTTGGTCAGCAGTCTGGATTCACAAAGTATCCATGTTTTTTATGCGAGTGGGACAATCAAGCACGAAATTTACATTACGTTAAGAAAGAGGGGCCACTTAGAGAAAGACTAGTACCGGGACAAAAAAATGTGCAACGTGATACGCTAGTTGACCCAAAATTAGTTCTTTTGCCACCTCTTCAAATAAAGTTATAATTGATGAAGCAGATTATCAAATCTTTAGATAAATAATGTGACTGCTTTAAATACCTGTTCGACAAATTTCCTGCACTTTTTAAAGCTAAACTTAAAGAAAGAATTTTTGTAGGCCCTCAAATTTGAACCTTAAAATCGGACAGATTGTTCCAGAATACAATGACCCAGGATGAAACTGAAGTATACAATTCTTTCGTAGAACACATAGACGGGTTCCTTGGAAAAAACGAGTCTCCAAACTATAAAGAGATTGTAGCTAACAAGGTCGAAAATTTTAAAAAACTGGGATGCAATATGAGCGTCAAACTTCATTTTTTGGATTCCCACGTTGACTATTTATTCGAAAATCTTGGAGCTGCCTGCGAGGAGCTGAAAGAAAGGTTTTGTCCAGATATAAATGAGATGGCGAGACGTTACCAAGGAAGATAGGATATAAGAATATTGGCGGATTACTGCTGGACCTTGAAGAGAGATCGATCACAAAAATCCATACAGACAACAAAATGTAATTTTCATGGAAAAAGTGAACGGTTTTATTAAAAAAAAAACAAATATTGTCTTACGTAGGTTATACTGAGTTGTTTTTTTTAAGAACAACTCGATTTTGCAGTGTAATTTTATATTAAACAAGGTTTCAATAAATATTTTCTAGGTATTTTTGGCAGCTTCAATGAAAAATTTTAAACACACTTTTCTTGAAAACCTGACGTGCTGGAAAAAAACTAAGAACAGTGTAATGTAAACAGAGCAAGAAAGTAAAGATTAAAATAGAGGTTTGTAGCATAGGATAGAATAATAATCATTTTAATGATTATTATATATTCCAAATTAAATAAGGAATAATTAATACAGTAAAGTATACATTTTAAATTACACAAAGAAATTGACCTAGTTAGTGCATTTTTTGATAATTGTTTAAACGTAGAAAAAGCACGTCAAACAGAAACTATTTTTGTAAAAATAACACCGCTCGTGACCCAAATAACGCATAGGACTTACAACTCAGCGAAAACACTACCTTGGCACTATAAATTGAAAATACGAGCTCAATAAAAACAAGAAGAACAGAGGAGTCGGGCAGTCGGTGTCTTCGGGCAGAGTGGTTAATACGAGAGTATCACCAGGTGCGGATTACGCGCGATTGTTATATTTCGACGGGGTATAGTTCCGTATAAGTGTCGGGTACTGAAAGAAATCCGATTTCCGGAGGAACTGAAGGGCGTATCATTAGCTAGAGCCTAAATACGCGAAAGATAACAAAATTCTATATACTAACCCGAGTAATTTATAGTATTACAGATTGTCACCCTTTACTTTCTTGCTAAGATCTCTTCTCGTCTCCCTTCGCGCCGAACGAGTTATTATTACTTATATCTGACAGTTTGTTAACTTAATTGTAAACCACATAGTTTATTCAATACATTTGTAGACTCTAAAATTGGTTTTATGGTCCTTCCAACCGATTCAGACAGAGACCAGAAGAGTACCAAATTTCGGCTTATACATTTATCCGGCTTCTAAAGTAAGCCCGTAGACTCAAACTCTTTACAGGACCTGAGACCTAGAAGTCCCCTATTCCGAAGTTCCTTACCTTCTCGTAAATCCACGAAGGCAAGCCAGCCCTTCAGACTAGTGGGACCAGTATTCCTTGCAGCCGCTCGCAGGGATAAGCATCGTTTAAAGTTCATTACCAGTTTATTACAGTGGTAACAGCGTTGTACAGTGGTGAAGATTTTCTCACCCTCTAGTTCCAAATGTGGGACACATCTGGGGATATAACTCCCCACAATAGGGGATATAACTCCCGCTAGTTGTACAACAGCTTCGTGATTAGCACATTCCATTCACTATAGGACACCTGGTCAACTTAAATCGCTTTTTCATGCAAATAAAAATGTAGACCGGTGTAATGTGTTAAACTAATGATGCCACAAAATTCATTTGATTTAAACGTACTCAAAAGTTTGGGGGATTTAGGGCTGCACATTCCCCTTAAAATGTTTCTGTGCGCTTAGATTATGTTTTCTTTTGTATGACAAATGCTTTCAGAACAAGAAAGTAACGTGTCCATTTTTATTACAAAATGTCATATTGTTTAAGAGATGATGCAAAGAAAAAAATTTTTATTTTGTAACTTCAAAGGGCTGTAACTTTTTTGTGTACACTTTTGTACAAAGGTAAGTTGGATTCAATCAATTTATTTTTGTCCCCGGAATGCGTGAATTAATTTATGACATTCCTTTTTGAAACACCCTGTAAAGTTAAAAAAACGTATATTTTAAATAAATAAATTTAAAAAAAATAATTAAAAATCCTTTTTAAAAGGTATATATTAAAATTAATATTATATACCTTTTACAAAGGATTTTTAATAAATTTTTTAATATATGGTATACAGCCAACTACAGGAACGTAGATTCCTTGTGGATAAATAAATTTTAATTTTGTAAATAAGAGTACCTAGCTATCAGGAAAGAAATTTATTTTAATAGTCAAATTGAAAGCTGTTGCCAAAAAGCTTTTACACAATTTTTCAATCTAAAAACAGAAACGTTAGGGCATGTTGTTTTATTGTATTCACTAAAAAGATTTTAAATATCTAATTTTCTTTTCAATGTTTCTTTTAAGTGGAAACTATTTTATTCTAAGATAAATTCATGTCTCCAAGAATTTTTCTAATAGTATTTTTGCTGCTTAAAGTCTAAAGTTCTAGTACTAAACTGCTTATTGGCGATACGAAAAAGGATATTCCAATTTGACACCTAAACAATATTATTCAAACAAGAATCTTATCTTTTTAATTATAAAAATTGAAACACCCTGTACACAACCACATAAAAAATATATAAATAAGAGAACATCAAAAAAGTGAACAGATGTGCAGGGACAGAAGCAAACAGGGGGCTAAATAGGAATGACCCACTTACCCATGCCTTTGTTCTGAAGCATCTCCAACAATTTTTTTATGCTCTCGTCGCGAGCCTGCAGCGTTTGTTTTTGTGTCTCTATCCGTAGCTCTAGCTCCTGCGAAAATGAATAAGTCTAAGTGTTTGCGTAAGAAAAAGGATAAGGGCAGCTTGCAGGTACCTCATTAAAAAATAATTTTTTTTCGCATGCCATAAGTCTTTGCTAATGCTATTATCTGATATTTAAATTTGTATCGTCTTTATAATTAAGAAAACTTTATAAAAACTGGAGGTTAAAAATACGTTTTAATAAATATTTTGTTATTTTTTATATAGCTAACATTGGATAAAAGAATCCAACCAAAAGAATAGTTATTTATTTTACCTCTGCTTTATATCGATTTTATGTCTTACAAAAAATGAACGCCTTGTCGTATATCCACCACTGGATATAGGATTTTATGTTTCTTAATTCTGGGCTGGTTGTATCAGTCTCAGGTTACATTTTTAACTTCAGTTAAAACGTCAAAATGCACACAAAGAAAACGAAAATGTATTATGCGGAATCAGCGAAATGAGATGGCCAGAGTCAGGATCATGTAAAAAGGACGAAAGTGTATTATATTATTCCGGTTACAGCACAGAAGACACGCATCACAAAAATAGTGTAGGTATATTAGTAACATCAGAACTGAGTAAATATGTTACCAATTTCGTACCAGTCTCGGATAAAATAACATTCTATTCTATTTCTATTCTATTCTATTCTAGAATAATATTCTATCCGAGATAGAACAATATAAGACATCTTACAGAAACTTAATAAACACGAAATTTTATATATTATAGGTGACTTCAATGCAAAAATTGGCGAAGGTCGACGAGGTTAGACTGTAGGTCCTTATAGTCTAGAACAACCTAACGATCGAGGACAGAGACTGTATGAATTTTGTGAAGAAACCGATATGATAATTGCAAATACCTGGTATAAACTACCCAAGTGACGACTATACACTAAAAAAGCCCCATTTGATGATGGCAACAACCCTGAGTCCGCAAGAAATCAAATAGACTGTATATACTTGTAAATGAGCGTTTCCGAAATGCTGTCAAAAAAGTCACTACATTTCCTGTGGAAGATATTGGATCTGATCATCAACAACTTGTAGCAGATATTAAACTAAGGTTAAAACGAATTCAGCGACAAAAACCAAAAACCAATGTACTTAACTTTGACGATATAGCCATAACGCATAACATTAAAAAAAAATTTAACAATAGAATAAAAAACAGAAAAACAACTAGAAGATCCAGCAGAACCTTGGAGTGAATTTAAAAACCAAGGTAACGAAATCATTAACATTAATGGAACAACGTCGACTGAAAAAATCTAATGAAACAGAATATAGAAACCTGCAGAGAAGAATAAAAAAGGAGATCAAATTAGTCAAACTAAAATGGATGAGGGAAAGGTGCTACGAAATTGAGGATGTAATATCTAAACAGGACTTATTTAATGTGCACAATAAACTAAAAATAACGAGTAACATATTAAAAAAAAACGAGTTCCCTCTGTACTCGTTGACAATAATAACAAAATTATTGTAAATGAGCACGAAGAAGGTAATGGCAGCTGTATATGTCAGAGTTGCTTGTAGATGACAGGAATAATATTGCCGAATTTTACCAAAACTGTACTGACGGTCCAGATATTATAAAATGCGAGGTAAAACACGCTATAAATAATGCTAAAATTAGAAAAGCTTGTGGTCCAGATGATACACCAACTGAGTTACTGAAACTAATAGAGGATGATAACATAAAAATAGTAAATTAATTAATATTTAACTGGGAATAAGCCACAATTAAAGATAAAAATACGTTTATTGACGTTTAATTGATATATTGTAATTTCTTAATTGTAATAATATATTTTATACATAATTACTCTCTCTTGTCACGCAACAATAAAATGGTAAACACGTCTCCTTATTTAATTGAAGTTTTCATGTATTTTTATAATAAATGGTACAATCAGAAATATGGTCAATCATCATTGATTAGCCAGAAGTTCATACATAATTAATTCATACAATATAATTACAATATAATTGAGTGCTCTTTTTGTATCACTACCACGCATTTTAAAGAGAACGATTTCCGAAGTGGAAATTAAAACGCAAATAAACGTATTTTTATCTTTAATTGTGGCTTATTCCCAGTTAAATAGTAATTAATTTACAATGCCACAAGAAAATAGTTTCAGAACAATATAAAAATAGTAGTAAAAATTTTTAATCCAATATATAACACAAGAGTGATTCCAACAGATTGGCTTAAATCCATCTTTCTCGCAATACCTAAAAAACACAATGCGAGAAAATGCTTAGGATATCGATTAATTAGCCTAATGAGCTACACTTTTAAAATTTTCCTAAGCATATTTCACAACAGACTTAGACGCAAATGCGAAGATCTCAAAGATACACAATTTGGTTTTTGAAATGCTATGGGAACCAGTAAAGGTCTTTAAATTCTGCTTGATGATACTCACGAGCTAGGAGAGGAAATGAGCAAAAGAATAAACTTAAAGAAAGCCAAATTTTTATTGTTTAGTCGTGACCCACATCACGATACAAAGCTTTAATTAAACGGAGTCTAAATTGAGAAAGTTTACAATATGACATATTTGGGAACACTGATAACGGACCAACTCGATCCAGACATAGCAATAAAACGTAGAATAGCAATGCCTAGTACTTTTATGAAAATGAAGTCATTTCGTTGCAATGATCATCTCATTTTAGAACTAAGACAAAGACTAGTTAAGTGTTAAGTTTGGTCCGTACTTTTGTATAGTGCAGAAGTGTGGACGCTAAAAGTATCGATCATGAATAAAATTGAAGCATAGGAAATGTGGGTACATACCTTGATACAAAACCTTGAACAGCAAGGAAAGCTAATGAAGCAGTACTAAGGAGCGTCAACAAAGATAGAGAACTGCTAAAGACTGTTAAACATCGAAAAATATCTTATCTAGGTCATACAGTAAGTGTAAATCGATATATATTATTACAACTGATCCTTAAAGACAAAATAGAGGGCCGTAGAGGTGTAGGAAGGAAATGGTTTCTTGGTTGAGAAACATTCGTGAATTGGTTGACAATCCCATCTCAGAGAATCAACCAGATGTAGAATAGAAATTGATAGCACCAGTATTAAACAAGTAAAGAGAATAAAATGCCTGAAAACTACACTGTCTGGCTATGGAGACCTGGACAAAGAAGTGAGAGATCAAGTACAAAAAGGAAATAGACTGGCAGGATGTCTTAATAACACTATATGGCCAAACAGACACATTAACACTGAGATGAAGTCAAGAATTTATAAAGCCAGTACAAGACTAATAATGACATTTGCCTCAAAAACAAGATCCAAGACAGCCACAACCCAAAGGCTACTGGAAACGGCAGAAATGGGAGCACTAAGAATTACAGTAAATACGGTAAGAAATAGAGAGAGAGAAGTGAAGATATTAGAAGAAAAAGTACAGTGTATAAATAAATAGACAAAAAATAGAAAAAAAAATAATAGAATAACCACATAAGTAGAATAGAGGAAATCCGTCTCATCAAAATAGCAAGAGATAAGTCACCAATCGGTAAAGAAGTATCGGACAACCGAGCAAAAGATAAAGTGACAACATTCCATAGAGGTATTAATCAGCCAATGAACAAGCAGAATTGCTTATAAAGAGGAAGAAGAAAAAGAATATTTAGTAGTACACGAACATCTGAGATATAGGTTATTCGTAACCACATGCGTTTTTGTGTTTGTTTCGATTTTAGCTAAAAAAGGTAAGTTTGAAACTAAAAATTCTGTGTATAGTTACACACTTTTCAGAATTATAGTTAAATACCGATACAACAAATATACTTTTTTCTTCAACATATCACCCAAATTCTTTTCTCCCTTATGGAAACATTACTCGTTTATAGTTTATATTTTTTTATGCGTGTAGAAACATTGGGAGAAAGAAGAGACAATATTTACGGCAACTTTAAATACGTAATACCTTAAAACTATAACTGGAAATATAACATTTACGTTACTGCAGCCAGCAGGTAGATTTATCGCAGATATTCAAACATTAATTACTTAAGAAGGGTCATTTACCAGAAATCAAAAACTGGAACGAATATAATATATATGATCTTATATTTTATGATCTCTATAATTTCTTCCTTGGTAGGTACTTCTTCATTTACATCTGGGTTCCTCTTCATGTTGTAGTTGCGTTTGTTCTCTTGCATCTTGGTCGTCCGTACATAATATGTTCTCGAAATAATTAGCCCACCTTCTTAATTTTTCATCTGTTTCACCTAACAGACTCCCCTCTTCATTTTTATAATATCTTGATGTGGTTTTGTACTGGGTTCTGTCTCGTTTTATTTCTTTGTAGAAATTCCTGACTTGTTTACGTAAAAAATCTTCTTTAATACGAACTAGTTTCTGCTCTAAACTTGACCGCTTCTTCCTTCTACAGATCTTCTTTGCTTCCCGTCTTTTTGCGGCATAAGCTTTTTACTCTCTTCATTATTTCTTATTATGCTATTTATTCTAGCTTTATTTCGGTCACTAATGGCTTTCTTACAATCTTCATCATATCAATACGTTTGTTTACATTGTCTGTTTCTTGATAATACTGAGTCGGCTGCTTCTTGAATTTTTTCTTCTGCTTTCTATATCATTTACTGTTATCTGGCTTTCCAGTTTCTCCTCAATTTGTTGCCTGAATTTTTTCTTAATTTCTCCTTCCTTAAGTAGTGCACCGTTATATGTTTTTATTGATTTACAACTAGTGTTATTAATTGTGGGTATTATTTGCTCCATTTCAACTTTGACCAAAAAGTGGTCCGAATTTGCATCAGCACCTCTATAACTTCGATCTATCGATCTATCTATCTATTCGACTATCTTTTATGGCTGTCATATGTTTGGCTTCTATTAGTAAACGATATATATATATATATATATATATATATATATATATATATAGTTTACTGTTAGTCCATCTGGTGATACCCAGGTACCTTTATGAATTTCTTTGTGATCAAAATGAGTGCTCATAATTCGCATATTGTGTTGAAAGCAAATTTTATTACTCTTTTTCCATTCAGATTACTGTCTCTATGATTACTTTTCTCCCTGTTATTTGTTTTTATACATCCTCCCTGCTAATCTTGCCATTCAAATCTCCTACAATTATTTTTATGTCATATGATGGTATTTTGTAAAACATATGTTTTAATTGTTCATAAAAGCTATCTTTACCGTCTTCATCTGTATTTCTTTAGTGCATGCACATTTATAAGGGTTGCTTTTCTATATTTTCCTCTTATTCTTATTTTACATAATCTGCACGTGACTGCCTCAAAATCTATCACCAGATTGGCAAATGTTTTCTTTATAAAAAATCCCATCCCAAATACACGTTCATTGTGTCCACTGTTGATAAACACGTAGTTTCTCACACCCATGGTGAAATTTCTTTTTTGTTTAGTTTCTTGTATAGCTGCAATATCGATCTTATATTTCTCTAACTTATTTGATAAGTTCTTTAGTGCCCCTACTTCAAAAGTCCCTCTAACATTCTGTCCTGACCACTGTGCCTGTGTAGACTGTTTTTTTATTTTCTCTAGTTTTTTTGGTACTATGGTTCCATTTCCACCATTCATCGTTTATACATATTTTCTGATAGCAGACGTTTGTTTCATTACCTTTTCCTTTTTCTTCTCTCGCTATGTCTCTTAGCTCTTTCTGTAGTTTGGTTTCGGATTGGGTTAGATCGTTTTCAGTAAAATACCGCGTTTATCTTAACTTACTCTTATTCTTTATAATAAGTTTTTTATCCTTCATTGTATCTACTTTTACTATCGTTACTGGTGGTTTCCCTTGAGAGGTTCTTATTTTCTGCACATCTTTAATTTTCACATTCACATTCAATTGACTTGCTATAAAGTTGGTGGCATCTTCCAGTTCCTTATTTTCTTTGAAATCGTGTCCTTTGATCACAATGTTTTGTTTCTGAATTTGTTTATCCATCTTTTCGATCCTGCTTTCCAGGAAATTTCTTTTCCCTTCAACTCACGATTTTCTTTTTTTAAATTGCGAATTTCTTCTTGGAAGATCTGCTGGTCTTTTCGTACTCCTTTAGCTTTGTTCATAAGAGCCGATCATCATTTCTTTCAATTCGGTTTTATCACAATCTTTTTTAGATGGAGACCTAGTTAACTTTCTGTTTTTCATGAAAGGGTTTTCATCTTGGTCGTCTTCTTATTTTTCCGCCCTCTTTCTCTTACTCTTTCTCTCTTAGTAAAATTGATTACAAATAAAAAATTTAACAAGGAAAAGAGAAGAAAAAATTTGAAAATCTACAAAGAAGCAAAAATTAAATTTTTTAAATTTGAACATTTTTTAATAATAAACGATATTTAGTAGAGTGTATTAGCTCCACAACCCCTAATTACTGCCATGATTCGATCAAGCATACTTCAAACTAAGCAGCAAATTCTTCCTGAGGAATTTACTTCCATTCGTCACAAACTGCTTGCTCCAAGTCATTGATGATTTAAAACTAAATATAGTTACGTCGAATACGTCATTCTAGAAAATCCCATGCTCTATTAGAATTCTTGAGAGTCTTAGTGATAAAGGAATCTTAATTTAATGCAAGTAATTATGTATTAATCTTGCAAAGTATAAACGAACATTTAATATACTTTTTAGAATTTTATTTGCCCCCTAGAATTGTAACAGTTTCTGTATGAGCCGCTACATAAATGACATTGTGCAAACCATTATACTATCTTCACCAAATTGAACTCTGGCAGTAAAACAACATGGGTGATAACGTTCACAAGTTCTTCTCTACATCCTAGGCCGCCTATCTGATGAGTATATGTTAAATCTTAATTCATCCGTCAATAAAAATGCACCCCCTTCTTTAATACTCCAATTAGGATGTTTGCGAGCGAAGTGTTCGTTGTACTCGTTGCCCCCGATGTACTGCTGTAAATAGTCCCGTGACAGCTATCTTGAATCTTAATCCATATTTAGTTAAGCGTATTCGAATGGTATAAATGAAAACTGTGTTTCTATGGACATCATTTAATCATTAAATAAGTACTGGTTGTATAATGTGCGATCGCGTAAAGCTTGCAATCTAAAAAAGTGACCTTTAGACTAACCTATGGTTCTTCCTGTATCTTGACCTGGCGTGCGGGTGTATTTTCCTATTTCCCGAAATCGTTCTATTGCTTCAAACACGGACCTTCGAGAAATTCCTAAAGTAATCGTCCTCTAAAACAACAACTTGTGCCACTTCGTTTATTATCACCATTTTTTTATTGAAATTTTTAAAAAGCAGAAAACAAAAAAACTAAAGGCAATATTGCAAACACTTGTAAGAATACTTAAATAAACTAAAATAATAGTACTACTACTATCGGTTTACAGCGTTCTCCGACGCCTTCCGACTCCTAACCGCCATTCTTCTCCATTCAACCATAGGCCTGGAGGTATTTCCTCTAGTTCTTTTTCTCTCTCCAGGTTCTTCTCGGTCTTTCTCTTTTCCTTCTCCCTTGAGGTGTCCACATCAAAATCTTTTTCGGAATCCTGTCATCTGGCATTCTCTGTACATGGCCGTACCATATTAACTGTTTTGTTTTTATGTCATCAACCATTGTATGCTTGACTCATTTCTCGTATTCTCTCATTTGGTATCCGATTTCTTCTTGATTTGCCTGCTGCTCTTCTCTAGAAGTCCATTTCTGTTGCTAGTAACAGTTTCTCTGTTCTTTGTTTCATTGGCCAAACTTCACTGCCATATGTGATTACACTTTTAAGTATGGTGTTGTATATGAGTTATTTGTTCGCTTTAGATATTGTTTGGTCCCACAGAATGCCGTTCATCATGGATATGGCTTTTCTACCCTGTATGTTTCTATCTTTTATAGCAGCATCGAGTATTCCATCTTGAGTTATCTTCATACCCAAATACTTGTATTCTTCACATTTTTCAATTTCTACCCCATCGTCTAATATAATGGACTGTTTTGTCCCTCCAATACACATGGCTTCAATTTTCTTAGTGTCGACTTCGAGACCCCATTTGCTATATTCTTCTATTAGCTTCCGAGTCATGTAACTCAAGTCGTCATGATCCTGGGCAATCAGTATTTGGTCATCAGCGAAACATAAGGTGTACAGTGGAGTCTCGTCATTGAGAGGGATTCCCATGCCATTACATTTTCTTTTCCATAGCTTGAACGCTTGTTCCAGATAAATTTTGAAAAGGGTGGGCGAAATACAGTAACCCTGCTTTAGTCCTTTCGTGACCTTAAATCCTTCAGATATCCTTGATCCAGTTTTAATTTGTGCAGTCGTTCCATTATACAGACTTTGGACTGCTGTAGGTTTGACCATAGTTTACTTAGGGGTACATTGTCATATGCTTTTTGTAAGTCTACGTACACCAAGTGAACTTCTTTATTCAAGGCTGTTTCTTTCTCAATAACTTGCGTAATAGGGTACAGGTGGTCTACTGCGGATCGCCCAGCTCTAAAACCAGCTTGCTCCTCTGCTTCGTAATCTCTATAGCCATTTTCTATTTTGTTCTTAATAAGTTTCCCATACATCCTACTTATTGTGCTGTTTACCGCAATTCCTCTGTAATTTTCACACTGTACCTTGCTGCCCTTTTTGTGGATAGTGGACATGATAGATAATTTCCATTAAACTAAACCATTAAATTCCATTAAATTAAACTAAACTAAAATAATTCTGTTCAATTTAAGACACAATTTCACATTAACACGAAAAAGTTTGTGCAGAACGGTATAACCATGGTATACAATAACTGGAAAAGATCTTGTTTTAAATCTAATCACTAAATTTTTTTTTTAAATATTTACCTTAATGGTATCTCGTAATATTGCTATTTCTCTAGTTAAATGTTCGTTTTCTTGAAATAGAGCCTCCATTTGCTGCTGAATTTCGATGCTCGGCCCCCTCATCCTCATTCGTAATTCTTCTTCTAATTGACGTACTAGCATAGCTTGTTTCTGTAACAAAATTTTACATTAAATACCACATAATTGAATACTAATTTGTTTTTAGTAGAAAAACGTAAATGCTAAATACTGGTAAATACTACAATTAGAACAATTAGTTTAAGATGTACTGACCAACGTTCAGAACAAAGGAACTAGTCAGTTCCAGTTTAGAAACAAAAACAGTAATTAAAAATAAATGCAGAATATGTTAAAAAACGGAAAGAGCTCCTAAAATAAAATAAAAGATAAATAGGAAATTCTATATACTTTACTGATTAATTAATTTACAGATTAATACGTAAGCAGATAAAAGAAGACATTCGAAAACATTAGGAAGACTAGATAGAAAAAAAGCAAAGACTTAAATTCACTAGCCTGAAACTGGAAAGAGAAACTTAATATCCTTAACAAATCAACTTCAAAACAGCCAAATCAACCCAAATAACAAAATCAATCGAAGCATTCTACGAGCTACCTTTCCAGTTCAACAAATGATCTATCTGCTTCTTCGAAACAGAATGTTAAAAGAGTCATAACAAAAAATGTCAACTTTGTCAAAGAAATGAAGGGGAACAAAGCAACTAGAAGTGATGAAATGCTGATAGAAATATTGAAAAAGGTGTGATATTTTAATTCACAAAAACGGCGATACTACAGACATTAAAAGCTACCGACCAATTTACCTTCTTTCAAAACTACACAAAACGTTTACCAAAGTCATTACAAATAGGCTTGCATAGAAATTGTAATAGAAAAGTTAAATGAGTATTAGCTTTTAATTTGTTTAACCTTTATAGGTTATAAAAAAGCCTTTAATTGTGTAAAACTATTAGCCGGATAGACTTTTGAATTATATTACATAATATATAATATATGATTAAATATTACGGTGAAAATTACGGTGTTAACCAATAGCGATCAAAAAACTAATCCAATTTAAATAAATCGTGGTGTAAGGCAGGGCAATATAATATCTGCAAAAGGATTTACAGCAGCATTGGAAAATAATGTTTCCACCTACATCCAAAGTATACACTTCCTGGCGTTATTGTAGGGAGCACAGTCGTACTTTTTCTCCCTAAGAATACAAACTCACAATTTTGTGGTAAGTCGTTCACCATTCGTTTTTAATTAATTGTGATGATAAGATATTTTTTTTTCGTATATTTGTAGAGTCCGAATGACAATTCATTTTTTGCCGCATGTTTTCTCATCTGTTTTTCTCTACGCTTATGACCAACCTTCAGATTGACCTTCAGATGTTAACAAACTATTATGTGAGAACAATATTTTATAATGATAACATTTTTTTGCTGTTAGAGACGTAAGTCTTATAGTTTACTTATTTTTATTGACAATCAGTAACGTTTTTTTAAAAGATTATTTTTAGTTTATTTATTGAGTATATTAATAGATGTACTATATAATTTTGTAACGTAAATTTTAAAGTAAAACGGCACAATGACCAATGAAATTCGTTCAGATTTCAGTTAAGTATACATTTAATTAGTGTTAGCAATAACTGAATGCAACGACACAAAACCGAGACAGATCAGAAGAGCTAAACGAGACCTATGTCCAATACAGGCTGATGGTAATTCATTTGATTATCATTTTTTTGTTGTTAAAAAATAAAGTTTTAATTAAAGTAATTTGCATATTGAGTCTATTTAAATTAATTAACAACTGCAATATGTTTAAAGCACAAGATTATTAATGACCATATGTGTCATTATCTGTTTTTTATTAATATGTATTTATTATTAAAAACTTTGAGTGGTAATAAACAATGTTTATAGTTTATTTTTTACGATTCATGTTTGTTTAAATTTAAAAATTTACTAAACATAATTACTTTATTATGACGTTGCATTATTTTATTTTTGTGTAAAGATGATAATATAAATTATTTAAATTTTTTTGTAAAAATTAATATAAATCTAGTTTTATTTTATTGAACATCAACCTTTTTTACAGCTTATGGTTAAATATATCGATTTGCATGATTTTTGTTTAATAATTTGCTGATATGTTGTCTGAAGTGTGTTTTCCGAATGTTTTTGAGCGAAATGTTTGTTTAATTGATTTAACCTTGAGTTCCTTGAGATTGGCTGTATTCAGTGTTTCCTGTTTTTATTTGCCAAACTGTTATATCTTGTTATCTAAATAATTTCTATCGCTTACCTATCTATTCTTGATCTACACTTTTCTACCATCTATATCCTTACCCACCCCCCAATTCTTTTTCATGTACCATGTCCTTTCAGAACGTTGGTTACCATCATAGCTATTTTAATTTTATTCACTGCCACCCTAAATAGCATGCTTGTATCTACACCATACCAATCTCGCAAGTTCTTCAACCATGAGGTTCTTCTTCGTCCTGGACTGCGTTTGCCTGCTATTTTTCCTTGCATGATATTTTGTAGCAATCTATATTTGGGACCTCTCATTACATGTCCGAAATATTCCAGCTTTCTCTGCTTGATGCTTTTTATGATCTCAGTAGTCTTGCTGAGACGTTCAAGTATTGTGGAGTTACGAATCTTCTCCACCCAGGAAACTTTTAAAATTCTTCTATAGCACCACATTTCGAAAGCCTCAAGGCGATTTAGATCGATTTTATTCACAGTGCACGACTCGACAGCATAAAGTAAGACCGAGAACACGTAGCAGCGAAGTAGGCGGATTCTTAATGCCAATTTTAGGTCTCTGTTACATAACACCTTGGACATCCTTCTAAAAGCTGCTCTAGCCTGCTCTATTCTGGATCTAATTTCGCCGTGATTTTCTGCATTACAATTTAATTGCTGTCCAAGGTAGACGATTTTATCAACTTGCTCAAGTTTGGTATTATTTACATATATAGACGGTTTTATATTCTGTTGTTTACTTATTACAAGTATTTTGGTTTTCATTATGTTAAGATCCAGACCTGCCTCCCTACAACTCTCAACGACACTATCAAGTAGTGTTTGCAGATCTTCTTGACTAGAAGCTAGGAGTACTGTATCGTCCGCATATCGCAAATTATTGATGACTTCGCCGTTCACAAGTATTCCTTCTTGTTTTTCAGAAAGTGCTTTTCTGAAAATTCTTTCGGAGTAAACGTTAAAAAGCAAGGGTGACCAGAGGCATCCCTGCCGTACTCCTCTTTTAATATTGAGAGCTTGTGATTCCACACCATCTACTAAAACTGATGTTGTTTGATTCCAATATAAATTTGCAATTATTCGAACATCTCTGCCGTCCAAGCCAATGTCTTTTAGAGCTTCGATCAATATAGAGTGCTTAACGCGATCAAATGCCTTTTGAAAGTCAATAAAACAACAGTATATGTCTACAGATATATCACGACATCTTTGAGCAAGTACGTTCATTCCAAACAGTGCCTCTCTCGTTCCAAATCCGTTACGGAAACCAAACTGAGTGTCATCCAGTTATTCCTCACATTTATTGTAGATACGACCATGTATTACCTTCAGAAAAATTTTCAATAAGTGGTTTAACAAACTGATGGTTCTATAATCAGCACAGGTTTTTGCTGTTGTCTTCTTAGGTAGAGCTATAAACAGTGAGTTAGACCAACCATTAGGTAGTTGTCCGCTGGTATAAATGGTATTGAAAAACGAAGTTATAGCCTTTAAAACATTGCTATCCTTTATAAGCTTATATATTTCAGTTGGAATTTCATCAGGACCAGTCGCTCTGCCATCTTTTGATGATTGTATGGCCTTTATAACCTCACAGCGTGTTATTAGGGGTCCGTCGCAGTTAGTAATATCGGGAGGTGAACTACTCCTATCGTCTTCGAATAGGTTCGTGACGTAATTTTCCCATTCTTTAAGTTTGTCCTCTACTTCGAATATTACTTTACCATTTTTATCCTGTAGCAATGCATTTTGTTTCTTATTGAAGATACCAGCCGCTTCTTTTACTTTTTTATACATGTTAAACGTGTCGTATCTTTTTTCGAGTTCTTCAATGTCATGACACTGTTTGGCTAGATGTTGACTCTTTGCTTCTCGTATTTTACGTCGAATTTCTTTTTGTATGCTATTGTAAAGTGTTTCGTTGGTTTTTGCTAGTCGCTGTTGTTCCATCAAATCCAGTATATCATCTGTCATCCAAGCCTGCTTTTTTGGCTTTGACCTGGCTTGTAAATTTCTCACACAGATTTCTTTTACTGTCGTTACGATTTTATTTAAGCCCTCATCGACGTTTTCACCAATATTTTCCCAAATTAAATTTTCGTTCAGTTGACTTTGAACTGATTCCTTAACTTTCTCGTCTTGTAGTTGGGCTGTATCAATCTTTTTGCGAGACTTCTTTTTGATCACCTGTTTTAATTTTAATTGGGTTACAGCTACTATGGGATTGTGATCGGACCCAATGTCAGCACCTGGATAAGTTTTAACTGATTTGATGCAGTTTCTAAATCGATTTTTTATTAGAATGAAGTCGATTTGATTCCTAATAATTTTGTCCTCTGATTCTGCATTTGACTTCCAGGTGTAGAGTCTTCTCGGTGGTAGTTTAAAATGGGTATTTGATATAATGAAATCGTGTTCTTGACAGAACTGGACAAGTCGATCTCCACGTTCGTTTCTGTTTCCCAAGCCATATTCCCCCACAATGTTCAAACAGCGTCCTTTGCCGACAGCGTTAAAATCTCCGAGGACTATGGTATTTTCTGCTGCTTTGACAAGATCTAGAGCATCAGTAAGATCTTTGTAGAATGCTTCTACAAGCCCCCAATGAAGCTCCCAAACTGAGCAACGTGGGCTTCGTTCAGCATTGTGTACGAGAAGCTTTTATAAAGCAAAGAAATCACAAGTATGATTCCGGTGCGGTGGAACGCTAACATTGAAAATGTTACAGGATCAACATGGAAATGTCTGGCATAGGACAAAGAAGCATGGAAATAAATAAGAAAGGCTTATATTCGAACTATCGAATAAGAGGTTTAAAAAATGAAGCAACTTTATACAACCTAATTTATTTAAAAT